AGCCGCAGCACCTCCCCCCCGGTCTCGGCGGAGGACCCCTCCGCCATGGCCCCGCGCTGTGCCGCCGCGCATGCGCGCGAGCAGGCCCCGCCCCCTCTCCGCCGCGCAAGCGCTCTGAGGCTTCGGGGGCGCCATCGTGGAGTCCCTAGCAACCGTTGCTATGTAGGGCCTAGTGTAGCGGGGAGGGGCAGGGCCCAGATGTGCAGCAGCCCCACAGCTGTGGGCCCAGGCTGGAGCAAGGGCAGGCAGGGGGATTTCCCACCACAAGCCTGCAGGGGTGGGGAGCAACGGCCGGTAGCTCCCAACAGGGTGCAAGTCCCGCCTCAGCGCCCTGCGCCAGGCAGAAAGGCGCCATTCGTTCCTCCCAAACCAGCGAGAGTTTATCTCCTTCCTCCTCCTCTGGAAGGGGCCGGTTTGGGGATGCACGGAAGATGTTCCCGGGTGCACGAAATGCACGATGCAAGGGGCATCAAGCTGTGCGGGCAGAGGCCGGGTGTGCAAGGGCATGCGTGCAAGAGGTAGCTCAGGGGCCAGGAAGGAAGCTGCGCCCCAGCCTGCACAACCGCGGCGGGGTGACCCCGAACGAGAGGCCGAGAGAGAGACCCAGGGGAGCCAAAGGAAAGCCATTAGGATCTCCCTCTCTCTCGCCAGGCAAGAAGGAGGGCTCGCAACATGAAGCGAGTCGGCAGCAAGCTTAAAACGAACCGGAGGAAGTTATGTTTCATTAAAGGACGGGACTCGCGGCCATGGGGCGGAAGGCGGGCGTTTAGCCAGATTCACCGAGGGATCGGACGCGTCCTTGGAGGAAACGGGCGTGAGCACGGGAACTTCCCCGAGACCGTAAATGCTGGAGGCTGGGAGAGGAATAATGGGGGCGAAACCCCCCAAATCAGACCGAATTCCCTGTGCTTTCCGGCTGCCGTGTGACGACCACTGTCCTCTATGACGGCCACCCTATACGGCACAGATACCCCACAACATGGCCATGTCATCCGTACCGTGGCAATGACTGGTTGCCGCTCCCCGGGGTTTTGCTCAGCAAAGTTTGCGGTGTGAGTAATAAGCAGTGCAGCGAAACCAGCTGGACCCGTTAATGGACTCGTTAATGGGGGGTCCCGTCTAGCGGCTGGACCCATCGCAGCTGGCGGTATTTGACAGCTCCCCGCTGGGGAGCGGGACGACGACAGGCGTTTCAGCATCGCTGAAATGGACTGAAGCCAGGGAGTGCCGTGGAGGGATTAGAAATCGGACAGGTGTTTCGTCCAGGCGATCGGGATGGATTTTGCAGGTAAAGACAGCTGGCAGGTCACAAGTCTCTTAGGCCCGGTTCAGCTGCACTATTTCACGGGCGGGCCTCTGGATGGTGCTAATTAGCAAGGCAGAACTGTCACCATTGCGGCATCGGAAGTAAAATGAAAACACCGAGAGGAGCAAAACCTCCGCAGCAGAACGGCCCGGAAAAAATCTCAAGGCAGCTTGATGCGATGTTCAAAGCCTTTAGACATGAAGCACGTAACACTGATGTCTGCCGGGGGCGAGGAGATAAGGGCTCCCTTGCTGGACCTGCCACAGACTTCCTGACTGATCTGGAGGGGGCATCACTTACCCACCCTGTGCCTCAGTTTCCTCACTGTGAAATGGGGATAATGGTACCAAGTCATCTCCCAGCAGCACTGCGAGTCTTCAGATCATGCTCATAATCCATGTGGAGAGCCTCGAATGGAAGTTGCTATATAAAGCATGAATTTATCTCACGAGCAAACGATTGACCAGCAGGACTGAGTTAAAATTAGTAAAGCCACTGGGATGGATTTGCACAGGTCTGCTCGCTGAAGACAAATTATTCTCCTTGACAAACCAGCAAATGATGGTTAGCTCTGTCCCCGTCATCAGCTTGCTGGAGATGTGTAAGCAGATTTTGTGCATCTGCATTTCTCCCGTGTAATTGCCTGGCTTGACTAAGCCGATTGCCAGACACGGGGAAGTCTGAACAGGGCTTAACAAATCCTGGTGCGGAAAGAGGAGTTTATCAAACCACTTTTGCTGGAAAACCCTCTTTCAGTGCTAGTGCTTCTTTGGCAAATAGCTTCTTAAACCGACAAGGAGTGACATTTTACATAACAGAAGCAGCTCATCTGATTTTTACAAATGCAGCGTTCCCAATGAAAGATTCTCCTATTGATCTCACACTTGATTCAGGTTCAGAGATTCTGGCTCTTTTGTTGCGTGAGGAACAGCCAGGCCTATTTTACCTGCTCCTCTGTTTCTGTGACCGGCTCCTAACACGGCTGATAAAACACCATCGGTTGTCGCAGGTGTAACACAGGCTCCCAGCCCGGGAACATCAGGGAAGGAGGAGCTGGCTCATCTGTCGTCTGAAAACTTGAGGGTCCCCAAAACCATAGGTTGAAACCTAAGCGAGACCATTTCAGTCTTTCACCCTGGTGTGGTCTGGTAGGTAAACTGAACTGAGAGCAGGATGCAGTGTGCCACCCCCTGAAAGGCTGCTCTGAAGAGACACGAAAGACCCCTCGAGGTCCTTTACACAGGCACTTCTGCTTTTGAAGTGCTGGATACGGGAACCTTTGGGATGCCACGATCGCTGCCATGCGTCTGCTCGCACGTCTAGTCTTTTATTGACTTGGAATCTGAAATGGTTGACTAAATACATTTATTTTTTAGCAAGCTTCTCTGTTCCCATTCTCCTCTTCCTCCTCCAGATGTCGCAGGGAGCTAGGGAAAGTGAGACCATGAACAAAGTTGTTGTTATAGACCCCTGTTTATTAGTTGAGGAGCTCAACTAACGGCATTTGTTGCATCCTTGTGTCTTTGTGTTGTCAGGAGGAGAGAACAACAGGACACTCCAGAATCAGAACTCACGGCATTTCTCTCTTGACTTGGTAAGCCTCTATGGTGCTGGGTTTTGTATGTACATTATATGGACCATAGTACTCTGTATCTCTGATGGTTTTGGACTCTGGGAGGTCATCCACATCAGTGTAGCTCTCCTCCTCATCCAAGGGCCCGGTGACAATGATTTTCGGTATAATATACCTTTTCTTCTTGGCTAGTTTCTCCACTGGAAAAGGATAAAGGACAATGACTCCAGGCCTTATGAAAGGGGATGAATTCTCTCCTGCAGGCTGCTAACAGAGGGGAAGCGTGCATGGCCATATACAAGGAGGTGCGTTGGGATTTTATAGGATGCGTGTACGGATCGTGCTATTGAGCTAGGCTAACACAGGAGCTTAAGCAACTCTTCCTACAGCACAGGGCTGGGAGAAGGGCTCTGCTCTGCTCAGAGGGGCTTTAACTGAAAATGGAGACGTTGCAGAGAGGAGCCATGGGCTCAAGCGCACATGAACCACTTCCAAAGAGGGAGGTACAGGTGTCAGGGAAAACTTGTGCATCCTAGGGGAGCCCCGAGCTGTGCCTTTGGGGGGTTCCCTGCTCCATGCGTTTCACAGGTGGGTTTGGAACAGCTGGCCAAAGACCCTTTGTACCCAGCTAATATCAAAACAGGGACAGCGCATTGTCATCGGGCATCTCAGCGCCTTTGACAACAACGGGGGCCTATAACATTGTGGTCCCTTTAAAACGACATCTTAAAAATCAGGATCAGTCCAGAGCAGTTTAGGCTTCATCTGACCTGCTTCAAAGCTCTCGTACTGCAGGGAGGGCTGCTCAGGAGACACTGAACAGCTGTACACACCCTTGCAGTGACTGCTCGCACCAGCCCCACCTCTCATCCTCTACCTTTCTTTCGAGGCCTGTCTGCCGCCCCTGAGCTCTTCTGCTGCTGCTTCTTGGCTGATTTACCACTGGGGGCTTGGACATGGTTCGTGTGGGCCTGTGGTGATGTTTGGATGTGCTGGCTGTGCTTCTGGAGATCCGCCTTTCTCTGCTCCCAGGTTTGGCTGACCGTGGGCTGCTGGGCATCAGCTGCAGGAATTTGGGATGCAAAGAGAGGGAAGGTGAAAAGGTGACTTAGTGTCATGGAGCCACAACAGCCCCTCACCACGCTGAGTCCTCTCCTGCCTGCATTTGCATGTGATCACATCAGAAAGGCTCCTGGATTTGGGAATATTCATTGGCAGCAGTTCTACCATTTCCATCTAGTAGTGTATCGATCCCCTTGTTAGGATTCCTTCCACTCCAGACCTGCCTTAAAAAAACCTCCTCGTTGTTCTTCCTTCTGCTGGCTGTAGATTCCTCTGAGCTTCTTCTCATTTCTTTATCAATCCCCTACCAGCGCTACCTTCTAATATGTATTCACCTAATACAGATTAGGTACCTAATCCTCCCTTTCCCCCATGCATTTATTTGTAGATACCGATTATTTTCCAAGCTGCTTTCACTTACCCTCTAAATCCCATCTTTCCTTTTTAGGCTGCCTTTCTTGGCAAGGCCTATCGGACATCCGATAAAACTGTCTTGCCCAGTTCCCAGTAAGCAGGTGCACGTTGCCATTTGAATTATTTCTCCCAGCTGGTCTGTCATAATTTTCTTTTCAGCTTTGTGCAAGTGCCTGTGCACTTTGCGTGTGTCTGTGCGACTCTTTTGGTCTTTACTGTGTTTTCATATAGCAAAAAAATCCCTGCAGTGACCACTCACTCCTAGTGCTGCGACTGGCTCCTCTGTCCGTCTAGAGGAGACTTACTATCAAAGTGCCTCCTGTTGGTGCAACATTTGCAAGATAAATGCACCAGGAAAACACAATTCGGGTGGAAAACTCGACCCTCCCAACCACATTACAGTCACCAATGAGGGTGCACAGCACAGTCCTCACAAACAGCCCTAAAATAAAGCAAGGCACGTGAAAACGGAAGAGGATGTGAGATCGCCTGACAGAGGGCCACTTCCCCACTCTGAGACACAGCCCTGGTGCAGAAGATAAAAGCCCAAATGAGGATCTTGTACCTCTTGCTGCAGCAGAGCAAGAATGCTGAATCAGTGATCACGGCTCCCTGGCAAAGTGCGCTGGGATATAAGTGACAAGCGCTCTGTATGAGCTTTGCTTCCGTACAATATAATTCGCTTGCTGGATATAATCAAGGGATTTGATAAGACTTTAAACTAGAGGTGTAAAATGGGGAGATTTGAATGTTGAACATCATATTAGCCATCTATATCTGTGGTTCTCTATATCTGTGCTGCGGTGACCTGGTTGAGAATCACTGAACTACTACAATCACTGGTGTTGCACTAGGCAGCAAACTGGAAGCTCTTCATACAGAGAGCAGAGTCACAGCAAGCCCTGGAAAGGACACAGCTTTGAGGTGTGCCGTTGGCCACTCTGATGTTGCCTTTGAGACCTCTCACCCCCTGGTCCCATAGCATTTGCCCTTCTTCCCTTCATCCAAGCAGTAGTGGTGGTGACAAGGAATGAAGGTAGCTGCTGCCCAGGCATAGCACATTCCAGGAGAAGGACAAGCCCAGGACAAGGTGCTGAGAAGTGGCCGGCAGCCTGTGTGAGACGGAACCACCCCTCCAACTGCATGCTGGCACCAGCTAGCCAGGGTTCCTGAAACCTTGGCATCCATCTCTCTATGCCATGCATCTCCAGGTGGATTTTGAACCCCCCAGCCCAAGGTCCAGTGTACCCAGCACAGATGGGGGAGACACTGGGTTATCAGGCATCTTGGCCCCTTTGACCACGTTGTAAAATGAAACTCTGCTGCTGAGCAGTTTAGGCCTAAAAATCAGGCCAGCTGCGGCAGCTCAGTGAGGATTACCAACCCGGGGATGCACAGCAGGCAAGGGCTAAATGCAGCAGCAGGGTGGCCAGCTCAGCTCTGTTTTTCCAGCCCTGCCACGTGCCCCCTACCTTCTCCCTGAGGAGTCTCTGCACACCCCCAAGTCTCCTGCCACTGCTGCTTTGCTGATGTACTTGCAGCTGCTTGAACAAGATAGCCGTGGGCTTTTGAAGGGCTTTGCATGTGCTGGCTGTGCTCCTGCCAATTGGCTTCTCCGAGCGCCTGGCTCCGGCTCCCGTCAGCTGTAGGAATTTAGGATGCAAAGAATAGAGAAGGAAGGTAAAAAGGAAGCTCCGTTAGCTGGTTAGTTCTGCATCATGGAATTACAGCTGCCCTTGCTACACTGAGTCCTCTCCTACTTATATCTGCACAGCCTCACTCAAGGCAACTCTTGGAGCTGGGAATTTTTAGAGCCCCTCATCTTCATCGGTTTGGCCTTCCCACAGCAATGCACCCAGGAAAAGTCAGGCACTGCCATAGCTATTGTATAACTCACCTCACTGGCAGCTTGCACCGTGTCTGTGAGATCACCGGTCTCCCTGAACAGCAAGTTTGACTGTATTTGAGTTCCTTTCCAAAGCCAGTGCCTCAGCCCCCTCCCAGCCTGTGCCAGTAGCCTTCACAACTGATCCACAATTTCAAACCCGAGCACATCCCAGCCTTCACGAGCAGCTTTACAAGAACAATTCTTTATTTATTTTTTAAGTTGTATCCATGGCCAAATTAGCCAAAACTAATTCCAAATCCAAGTGTCCAGAACCATAAGTGTCCCTACTACCAGCAAACATCCTCCACCTGCACCTAGGTCTTCAGATGTTTCCAAAACCTTTGGTGGGCATCCTACTTGCAGGCCCAAGGCCGGAGGCTTAGGGTTTGGATGCCCCTGAGTTTTGCAGGCATAAAAAGAAAGGGGAGTTAGACGCGAGCTGGGAAAGGAAAGGGGCCGCTGCCTGTATCTTGGATGCTTGGCAGACGGGGAGAGCTGCTTCAGTATTTGGGGTAACCCTGGAGCTTGTACCCTGGGTGGAGGTCAGGCAGCCCCCACTGAGACTGGCACTGCTGGTGGGTGGAGGGAGCCTCGAGGGGGTGGATGTCCCCCCTCTTATAGTCAAGCACTTGTTACTCACTCGCTCCAGCTCTCCAATTCCCCACCTATGAGCTCCAGACATCATCCTTCCCGTATCACAAACCTCCCAATGCCGTATCCTTCAAGGGAGCCATCAGGCCAGGCTTAGACTGACCTGATGATGTTTGTGGTAGGTATCAGCCAGGGACACATGACAGGCAGACTGCGGAGGAAGGACCTAGACACCACTGTTTCTTCTCAGAGTCTCACTGTGGGTACCAGGGGCTTTCTACATTATCTGTGCAGGAGGTTTATGGGATCAGACAAGCCACAGCCAAGCTTCCCCTCTGATCTGTCGTGTTACTTTATGCCTCTACAGCAGCATTTCTCAACCTGTGGGTCACAACAGGTTGCAAGAATATATGAAAGGGTTGGGAACAAATTTTAAACATGGATTCTCTTTTAAAGGAGAAAAATGTGGGAAACCATGGCTTTTCCCTTGCTGCAAGGGGCTGCTTGGGGCCTCCTTCCCCACATCTGCCCTGCCCCACACACTGCGGGGCTGGAGGCAGCGGGTTGGGAGCGAGGGCACTGGGTCGGGACTAGCCATCGACATCTATAAATGGGTCCTGGTACAAAAAAGGGTGAGACCCACTGCTGTACAGTGCCTCATGTTGGCAGGTCTCCCAGCTGGAAGGGAGCACAGCTGGCAAGCCCAGGGGCATATGGTAGCCTTTTAATCCAGGAGGAATGGGGTGACATGGTCTCCCCTGAGGTCAAGTAATGTACGAGTTGGTTCTCCCGCCCCGCTGCCTCAGTGTGTGGGGCAGGGAGTGGGTGTGTATGGGGGTGTGAAGCCCCAAGCAGCCCCTTGCAAGCTGCAAGGGCAAAAAAGCCAGGGTTTCCTACATTTTTCTCCTTTAAAAGACAACCCAAGTTTGTCTGCAGCCCTTCTCATCAGAGCTGGGACGAGAACCAAGGAGTCGTGCACATGTGCGTCTCTCTCCAGCGGATCCTGCTCCTCCCGGAGCAGAACAGACGCCAGGTGCTCCAGCCCCCCGGCCTGCAACCCCCATCCTTCCTCCTCTTGCCTTAGGAACAGCGCCTGCCCCCAGCAACACGAGCTCTTTACCTCTCATGTGGCCGCCTCTGCTCTGCCGCTGCCCCATAGATGAGCCCCCCGGCTCTGGCCCAGGCCTGGGGCTCTGCAGCTCCCCCGCTCGCACCACCAAGGGTCTTTTGTGACACACCTGGCAGCATCATCGGCAGCAGGCAGGCAGCGAGCTGAGGCTGTGCCAGAGGGACCTCCGCATTATGAGGTGAGTGCGGGAAAGGCCCGGGTGGCCGCCCGGGCCCCGTGCAGCGCACGTCAGGAGGCAGCGGGCAGCCCTGGGAGCTGCAGGGGAGCCGGGGAGGGCATCCTCACATGCTTAATTCATTCGAATGGGCAGTGGGTGAGACTGGCAGGGCTTCACGGGCAGGGGCATTGCAGCAGCCAGCTGCACGGGTGGAAGATGCCCCCGCCCAGGGCTGGACACGCACGTGGGCGAATTGGGGGACTGCCCGAAAATGGTGAAAACAATGATTATTATTACAATTATTGCTGGTGAAGGGAGGCCCGATACTGAAAGTTCCCCCCCCCCCGGGGCTGCCAGGAGTCAGGGTACGGCGCTGCCCCCCTCCCCACAGCCGTCCCTGCTGCTACGGGGCACAGAGCAGCGCCTGGAAACGTGAGCCTCCCCTAACGCAGAGGGGGAAACAGGCATGGCGCCACGGAGGGGGGCAGAGGGACCCAGGAGCCCCGCCCCGGCTGCAGCAGCAGCTGCCTTCGCGCCCCCCACGTGCCAGCCCAGCCCTGCGGTCACGTGACCGCCCTTCCTGGGAGCCTGGGCTCCGCCCCTCACTGCCAACCTTCCGTCCTCCTTGTGCGCATGCGCCGGCCGGGCGGCGGCGGCCTCGCGAGAAGACGCGGCGAGATGTGGAGAAGCGCCGGAAACGGCTGAGGAACCCGGAAGCAGCTGAGGAACCCGGAAGTGCCGGGAACCGGGCCTCGGAGCAGGATGGACGGTGAGCGACCCCCGCCTGCGGAGTGGGAGGGGAGGAGGTCGCCGCGCCTCCGGGGCTTCCTCTGCCACCTGGGAGCGGCTCCCTGCCTGCAAGGGGAGGAGGTCTGACCTGGGTGCGGGTAGGCCTCAGGCAGGCCGGGGTGGTCTCCCTGGTGACGCGGGCAGGTGCGGTGACGTCACACGGGGCTCCCCCGCGCGGGGTCTGCCCAGGAGTGGGCCTGTCCGCGGCGGGGGGGGGGCGTGAGCTGCGCCTGCGCGTGGGACAGCTCGGGTCGGAGGTCATGGGGGGAGGGGGGCTGAGGCTGCCAGGGCAGCTCCGGCCCATGGGGAAGAGCCGCAAACAAACCTTCAAAATGAGCTGTTGTTTAAAGGAGAAAAACGTGGGAAACCCCGGCTTTTCCCTGCAGCTCGCAGGGGGCCGCTGGGGGCTTCACACCCCACGCGCACCTGCCCCCCGCCCCACACGCTGGGGGCAGTGGGGCAGGAGTGAGGGGCGCTGGGCGGGGACCGGCCGCCGATGTTTACAGGCGGGTCCTGGTGCCCCGCGGGACAGTCTCCCCGAAGCACGGCTCCCGAGTCGAAGGGTGTGCGAGGTTTTTATTAATAAGTGTTTCAGAGACGTCTCTGAGACGTTCCAAATGTCGTCTCGTTTCTCTTTCCAGATACACTCTTCCAGCTGAAGGTGAGTGCGCTATTTCCCTTCCCCCTCCCCCCCCCACACACACACTGGTTATATGTCTCTCCCAGTGCTGGGTGGCTTTGGTAACTGGAAGGGGGGGGCAGGGAGAGGTAAGCAGCTGGGTGAAGCTCTCCGTACGTCGGGCGGTGGCGGTGGTGGTGAGATAAAGGCCGGCTCTGTCCCCTACGAGCAGAGGTTCCTCGTGATGCTTTGATTCAGACCGTGGAGACATCCCCAGCCGTGTCGCTGATGCTTGACTCTGTGTCAGGGTAAAGGTGGCAGCGTGGCTTGCCGTTAAATAAGGTGCATAATCCCTCTATGCATTAGGGGCAAATCAGTTTAAGACCATTAGGCTGGATTGGCCTTTCACCTGGCAATTGGATTACAGCGAATGGAAGCTGGTGACAGCACTCTTCCTTTTGGTCTTGGCAAACGGAGAGGAACGGGCACGTTTGGCATCAAGATTTACGTCTTGTCCCCAAGCGCACGAAGCAGCTCTTTAAAGCTGTGTTGTTCCAGCAGCTCGGTGCCTGTGCAGCACCCAGGCATGACAGGGAGGGGGAGCCATTGGCCTGGATTTACTCTCCGCACCCAGCAGCAGCAGTCTAGGCGCCCGCACGGTGTAAAACACCTGCGTCGGCATCCGGCGAGAGGGAGCGCATGAATGGCGCGCTCAGAAAAACCAATTCAGGCCAACCAGTTCTGGCGGTTCAGGCTGACCCGGACAGGCTCTCAAGGTAGGCAAATCGAAACCTGATGACATTTGACAGAGAAATGCAAGGTGCTCCACCTCGGGAGAAAATACCCACGTCATACTTATAGGCTCATCAGTGCTACACTCACTAGCACCACAGCTAAAAGAGGCTTCAGGGTCGTGATTGGTCACAAGATGAACACGAGCCACCAATGCAATGCCACAGCCAGCAAAGCAAATAAAACACTGGCTTGCATCCACCAATGCATCTTGAGCAAGACCCAAGAAGTCATCCTCCTGCTTTGGTCGGCCTTGGTGAGGCTGCAGCTGGAGTACTGCATCCAGTTCTGGGCTTCGCACTTTCTCAAGCTTCTCCACATCCTTTCTAGAGTCCAGAGTAGAGCCACATGCATGATCAGAGGTCACAAGAACAGGCTTTATGAGGAGAGGCTGAGAGGCATGGGACTTCTCAGCCTGGAGAGGCAAAGGCTCAGAGGGGACTTGATGGCAGCCTGTAAGTACATAAGGGGTGTGCATCAGGATCTGGGAGAGAGCGCCCGTGCACCAGGGTACCCAAGCGAAGACACGGTCCAGCGGTCACAAACTGCTGGAAGGCCGCTTTAGGCTGGACGTAAGGAAAGACTTCTTTACCGTCCCAGTCTCCAGAGTCTGGAATAGACTCCCCTCAAAAGTGGTGCAAGCATCTACTCTGGATACCTTTAAGAAATGCTTGGATGCTTATCTTGCTGGGGTGATCTGACCCCAGCTGACTTCCTGCCCCTTGGGCAGGGAACTGGACCCGATGATCTCACAAGGTCCCTTCCAGCCCTAATGTCTGTGAAATCTATGAAAAAACATACCCCATGTCCAGCACAGTTTCCATCCCAGCGCCCCCTCAGACTTCAGCCAGCCCTTGCTATGCCTGCTGAAAAGGCCAGAGCAGAAACTAAGGGCTGCTCCTAGCCCACCCTTGCTGAGAGCCGTCTGCCACCTCCTGCTTTGACCCATGGGCTAAAATCTCAAGTCCCTCCCCTAATGCCTCCCGTGGTGGGGTCTTATAGCAGGAGAGCCAGGTGCCTGGACCACCTGCTTCAGTGCATACGGTGGACAAGCTAGCACTCCACTGCAGCCAAGGGTGCTTTCTGTGCTCTCGTAGCATGCAGGTTTTTGGGGAAAGCCTGGGAGGGCTCTTGGTCTTGCGTGAGTACTTGACCCCTTTGTGCTTGAGTGCTGAAGTCTGTTTGTCTTTAGTTTACAGCAAAGCAGCTGGAGAAGCTCGCCAAGAAGGCTGAGAAGGACTCCAAGACTGAGCAAGCCAAAGTCAAAAAGGTGAGGTGAGGGCGCCAACTGCAGAGCTTTCTGCTGGGGATGGATACAGCCAATAGAGATCCTCCCTGAACGCTAGGTGCTGTTTCAGATTACACGTGAGATCCTCTTGCTCAGTGTGTGAGGGGCAAGGAATCTCTGTGAATTAGATCCAAGCAGGCGAGTTTCCTCCCACTTTGTGTCGAAGCTCTAGCCCCAACAAGCCCCCCTGGAATCTCAGGATCTCCTAGTAGCCTGATATGCTGAGTCTATGTATAGTAAAATGTTTGGTGCCACCAGCTCCACTGAACATGTTTGAATTCTGCTCCCAGCCAACACTTTGCAGTCATCGGGAACACGAGGCAGATTCCGGGCCTGAGAGCAGCTGGGTAGAAGCGTGAAATGTGAATCAAAATGGAATTTTCCATGCCAGTCTTTCCCTTCCCCCACTGCAGGCTCTTCAGCAGAAAAATGTGGAGTGTGCCCGCGTCTATGCTGAGAATGCCATCCGGAAGAAGAACGAAGGGCTGAACTGGCTTCGCATGGCCTCCCGAGTGGATGCCGTGGCCTCCAAGGTCCAGACGGCGGTGACCATGAAAGGGGTGAGAGTGCTGTCATTCTGGCTACATGGCTCCAGGGACAGGAAAGCCTCTCCCTCCTTGTAAAGACTGATGCCACAAGTCCTTTCCCTTTTTTAGTTGGAGTTCTTGGCAGGAACCTTCCCCCAGCCCCAGCCAGGGCTTTGGTGAAGGCTCAGCGTTGAATCAGATGCTTGGCAGTCTGACACAGCTGCAGTGCCAGCCTGTGTGATAGCTTTGGGATGTGATCTGGTCTCACTGGGGGGACTCCCTCTGGCTTGTGATTTTAGCGTACGCTTGAGCCTGGCTTGGCAGAAGCCAGAGGTTTGTTTCTGGAATCACTCCCCTGCCTCATGCTTGTGCTTAAGAGACTGAGTATGAGCTCAGCTGTGCAGTACCAGGGATCTTTGAACCCTGTCTGTGCTGGAGGTGGAGGTGCTAGTCGCCCTGGACACCTGCAGCAGCTCTCTGCTCTCAAGCCACCACGCAGCTGGAGTGCAGGGGCATGTGGCCTGACTGTGGGGCTTTATCTGGTTTTGCTGCTTCCTACCAAGTCCAAGGTTGCACAGAGCTGTCATCAGGGTGTGTTGTACCAGTGTTTGGAGTTCTGCGAAAAGCAGAGAGGAGACCAAAAGGGGCAGAGCTTTCAGAAGGCAGGTCTCATGGGCACTTCTGTTGCTGTGTGCTTGGCTGAAGTCCCCTGTCTGCTGGAGGCCCAGACTGTAGGATGGTGTGTGCCAAATACTGACCTATAACTGGGGCATGTGCTAAGCAGTTGCATCTGCCTGGGTGATGTGCGTGTGGATGGTGGCTGTGTTCTCAGAAGCTGTCTGTGCACTTGTACACATGCAGCTCGTGTGTACAGACTGAGGGCCTCTTACGTGCGCTGCAGGGCCAAGGACCTGCATGGGCAGGCCACGATGGGCATGCCCATGACACTGAGTCAGGCTCCTGTCACAGCTGTGGCAGCTTGTCTGGACTCTTACATGTGCATTTTTCCACCTCTTCTTACAGGTGACTAAAAACATGGCTCAGGTGACTAAGGCCTTGGACAAGGCTCTGAGCAGCATGGACTTGCAGAAGGTGTCGGCCGTGATGGATAAGTTTGAGCAGCAGGTTCAGAATTTGGATGTGCACACTTCGGTGAGTCCCTTGCCTGCCTGAGGGGTCCAGGGGCAAATCTTTCTGGGGTGCTGTGCGCTTGGGTGCCAGGGTGTGAGCAGGAGTGAGCTTGTTC